CAGCCTCAACACAGGCAGGAGTCAGCCGGGCGTGGTGGCGCACGCCTGTAATCCCAGCACTCAGGAGGCTGAGGCAGGAGGATCATTGCAAATTTGAGACCAGCCTGGGCTACAAAGTGAGCTCAAGGCCAGCCTGAACTGCATAGTGAGAGCCTGTCTCAAAAAGACAAAAAAAAATAAAAATAAAAAAACCAGGCAGGAGTCAATGCATATTTTTTTAATTAAAGAAAACTTAGCTTGACCTGTCAAGTTGGTAGGTAACAGCTGGGACCAGACAGTCAAGATTTTTAGCTGAATTTAGTACACTAGCTGATGACAGGCTGCACGAGCCTGTGGTCACAGGCCTGTACCTGGTTTCTAACTTTTGCTATGGTATGCCTACAAGTCTGCTGTTCTGTAAGTGTCTTACATCTCCCCCTGCTTTACTACAGGGGAGAATGTTCTTCCTCAGTTTCCTCAGCTTCTTTAGTGCTAAGGAGCAGATAGGAGGGAATGGCCTGTAAAAGAAGTTGGTGGTGCATAGCTTCAAAGCGTTCCATCACAAACACAGACTGCGGAGCACGCAAGGACCCAGGAGTAGTGCCAGGATGGCTAGCACACGTCCCAGGACAGCCCCTGTCCAAGAAGGGAGAAAAATCTAAGGATCCCCACCAGCAGGAGCTTCCCAAAAGATTCCCTACGTTTGAGGTGCTCCCACAGCTGGCGGGAGTTTTCTCTCACTATTCCTGACGTGTTGGCATAGTAACAACATCCCTCCTCCAGGGAGAGGCAGGTGCCCATGCTGGGCCGTCAGGAGCTCTAAGGCTCTTTGGTTCTGGAGGACGACTGCCGCTGAGGAGTCTGTTTGGTCCTGCAGCTGTCTGTTGAGGTCTGTATGTTGGCAAAGTCTCCTGCAGTCTGAGCACTTAACTATGAGTATTGCTGCTGGCTGACACCCATAGCTGTGGCCCTGAGTGTTCAACTCGCTGCTATTGCCATTCCGGCTAACAGGCAGTATCACAGGGTCACATTTCTGATGGGACTGATGGTCATGTGCATGTCCTTGCTGTCCTGGATAAACACAAAGGATAGTGTATTAGTTTGGGGTTTTTGCAAGGGAAACAATATAATACAGTACACATATTGTATAAGATTATTTATAATAGCTACCCAAAGAATCACATACAAAAGAGTGCAGGAAATCTGTCCACACACTAAAAACCAAAGAATCCAGCTGAGGGCCTGGATCCCACGATAATGTCCTGTATGAGTCCAGCTGAAGACCTAGAGCCCATAACAATGCCTCCCACAAATCCAGCTGGAGGCCTAGGGCGCGTGACAGTGTTGCATGCAGGCCTGTTTCACAGGTCTACACTGGGAAGGCCCAAAGGTCGGTGGTAGAATCTACTAAGTCTGCTGGTGCGATGAAGGATCTGTGCTAGCAGGCTGAAGGATCTGCACTGGAGCCAGGAAGTGATGTGCAAGTAAGAACCAGAGCTCCCCTGAAAAGTACCACAGCCATGCTCAGCAACGGTGAGGTCCCAAGCTCCTCCAGTGATCAAGATGGCTGAGTTTCCATCCGGGAAGCCAACGCAGCAAGCTTCTCTAGGAGACGTCTCGATCCAGGAAGCAATGCTCAAACTGAGGACCAGCGCTCCTCCAAAGTGAACCGAAGCCATTCTCAGTGCCAACTAGGTCCCGAGCTCCTCAGAGGATGAAAACAGCCAAGTTCATCAGGAAAGCCAGCATGATGAGCTCCTCCAAGAAAACTAACAGCTCCTTACAGCTTCTCTCTGTTTCCAAAAGGCTCCCAACAGCTTCTACCAGCTCCCAACAGCCTTTCTCAGCTCCCAACAACCTAACTTCTTCTCCAGTTTTGCCTCTTATGCTGCTGGCAACAGTCCTCAGGTGGGCCTCCACACCCAGCACCACTCTGACGCAGTTCAGCTTACTCATTTTTGTGCTGTCGAACACCTATGTATCCTGTCAGCACAAAGAAAGTCCCAAAGGGAGCTGCTAGGGAGCCTGAAATGGCAGCCGGTATATCCACACAGGCAGCAGAGGCGTTCTGGCCCTTTCTGGAGCCTAGAAAACCAGAGGTATTTCTCCATACTGTCCTAGGGTTGGGCTGAAGCTGGCAATCGGGAGCACTGCTTGAATTAAGATTAGTATTGTTCCGAATGAGACTCAAAGCTCGACTGGATAGAACTAAAAGGGAGACACAGCCAATAGTCTTCACCCAAGTCAGGGTAAATAGCTTGGAGGACCTGACGGGTGTCGTCCACCAGACGCAGGAGGTCAGGAACTGGGGGCCCTGCATTGTTTACAACAGGTGCTGGGGCCCCGTGAAAACACTGCTGGTCTCCGGGAAGAAGTTCTAATGCAGGACAGGGCTGGAGGGGGTACCCAGGCTTTCTGGAGCCTTAAAACAAGCCATGGGTCTAGTCCCAGTCCATCTACCTGAAGTCTTGCCTGGTGACCTGAGGTCCAGTCTTGCTGGGAAGGGTCCAGAATAATATATTGTAGGGGGTTGCAAGTTCCCCGTTAGCAAGGTGGACTAGAGGGAAGCCCAGTTAGAAGGCCAGTTTTGGATCCAGCCCCGTCTATGGCACAGTCCCATTTAGAACAGAAGGTAGATGAGAAAGGGGTTGCAATGTCTCTGTCTCTGTCGCCAGTCTGGAGAAACGTACTTTGTATTGTAACGATATTCCCATTCCTAATTTAACCGTCCACACCCTGACGAATAGCGGCGATTTTTCCAATTCGGAAAGTTGGCCTGGACTGGGCCTGCATCAAAACGCAAAAGCACTTTTGGCTGTGAGGGTTCCCATCTGGTCCAGTTAAGAATAATCTCGGGGTTTACACCTTCAACTTCAACCTGAAACTCCCAACGTGCTGAATTCCCCTATGTTCCCGAAATGTGCGCGCATGCTATCCACAGAAGTCATCACACGGTTCCAGCCAGAGCACCATGAAGGAAACAATCAGCGTGCCCCCGGGCAGGGTCAGTCCCTTCGGCCGCTCGGCCCGCGATTTCTAAGTTCAGGGTGCCCTCTTGTGGCCAAACGGCATAAGCGCAGCCAGGCAACCTCGCCGGAAGCGCGACTTTCCCCGAAGTTCCGCGAAAAGCCCGCCTGGAAGTTCTGCAGCGCGCGGACTCGCACGGTGGGCTGCCTCCGACGTGCGCGCAGACTCGCCGTGTGTGCGCTGTGCTCGTGAACGGCGTCACAGCAGACAGGGAGGGCGCCCTCCTGGAGCAGAGACACGCAGGCGCCCGCCTGGCCCCCTGGCCCGCACCGGGCAGTCAGCGCCGAGGGGCGGCGTCGCTCGGTCCGTTCTGTCCGCTCCAGCCTCCGAAGACAGCCGGCCGCGCCGAGCTGGGACACGCAGGTCCGCGAAGGGCAGGCTGGGGCTCCCTCGGGCTCCCTAACTCTGAGCCCCCGGGGGCGTGCACCGTGCGGCCGGACCGGAGCGACGCGTGGCTCAGGAGCGCGCGTGCACCCGCAGGCGGTCAGGCAACCCTGTCCCCCACCCCGGGGGGCGGCAGCCGGAACAGAGCTGCAGCTGGCTGCTCTGACCAGAACGGAGCACGCGGGTGGCCGTCCCCAGAGACGCGGCTCGCTCGCTGCGGGGCACAGTCCGAGGCAGGCCGGCCTCCCGAGGGCCCGGCCCGCTCGCGCGCCCACTCCTCCGTTACCGCGCAGGGGCTCCCCCAGCACCCTGCGGAGCAGACGCCGAGAAAAGGTCAGAGGGCACGCCGTCCTGCCCGCGGGTGCACCGGACGTTGCGGATCAGAGACCAGTGGAAGACGCTGCACCGACGAGTTCAAAAGGCAGACTCTGCTCTGTCAAGTAGTCAAAAATGAGAGCCACCAGGCGAGTGGCACATGCCTGGAGCCCTGCTACTCAGGACTTGGACAAGTGCTTGAGCCGGGAGTTCAAGACCAGCCTGGGCAACATCTTAGGAGCCTGTCTTAAGAGGAAAAAAAAAAATGGCATGGTTTCTAGATATATGATCAAAATAGAAGATAAACAGGAGGTAGGGACCCTCCAAATTGTCTATTCCACTGCTTAAAAATATTTTAACATACATGCTAGTTGGTTTCATTTATACTACTAGTTTCTCTTAGTTCATTGAAAAGAAAGTTTTGTGCTGTTATGTTTTTGGTTTGAGGCAGGGTCTCACTCTGTAGTTCAGGCTGGCCTTCAACTCGCTTTGTAGCCCAGGCCAGCCTCGAACTCACGGTGATCCTCCTGCCTCAGCTTCCCTGGTGCTGGGATTACAGGCGTGCGCCTTCACACTTGGCCTATGTTTTTTTTGTTTTTGTTTTTGTTTTTTTTTTTTGGTAAGTTTTTGTCAGACTTGCACTCTGAGTAACATTTTGGCCATCTTTTTAAGATTATAGTACACAGTGTATCAACTATTGTTATTCTCTAGTTAGGAAATTTTATTTTTTCAAGAAAGAAGTGTGTTCTAATATTTAATATCTACTTGTATGACATTAAAATAAAAAAATAGAAGCTATTATCATGAACTGAAAAATCGACTGCACCTACTAGTAAGAAAGAGATGGGAAGACACTTAAAGAAAGACAACCGAAAAGTGAGAATGCAGGTGTAGAGCACCTGGGCGATCATTACGCCCTGGAACAGGAGGCAGGCTTCTCTGGCCCCTCTCCCGCCTGCCGACGGGAGGCGGGTGGCGCTTCCCCCTGCGCCGGCGGCTGGGGGAGCCTCGGGCAGGGTGGGGTGGGCGGAGCTTTCCGGGGAGCGGTCACCGCCCGCTTCTCCTGTGGTGGGACCCCCCGGGCTCTGCCCGCCTGGTTGGGCGGCCGCATCCTCTCAGGGCAGTGCAGTCACCTGACTTCCTTCCTCTCCCAAAGCTGGCTGGCCCTCCCTAACCGGCCCGCCCGTGCCCTCGACCCGGTCTGTCTCCTCCCTTCCCACCCGTGGCTCGGGCTGCCCAGTTTGGTTTGAAGTTTTGAACCCACCAATCACCACCGCGTCTCTGTGGGTGGAGCCATGGCCGCGAGGGGCGCTGCCCTGCACTCGGTGGGCCTGGGTGCACAAAGGGCCCCGAGGCCGGCTGTTCGCGCTGCCCTCCCCGCTCCGCGGAGGTCTGTCCGTGGAAGCCGTTGCTCCATTCCTTCCGAGTCCCGTCGTGGTTAGTGTCGGCGGTGGGGTAGAGGACGCTCTCACAGGGGCGAGGAGACCCTGGGCTGCGTGTGGGGCTCGGCCCTCTGGGGTCCTCCTGGCTCCCGGCTGCCAGGCTGGGAAAGCTCGCCTGACCCGTCCCGCTTTAGGCTGGAAAGCACCGCCGCGGCACTGTCCTCTGCAAGGGAAAAGCCTCTCGCTGAGAGGGCACCCGCCCCAAGGGCCGCCGCCGCGCTGGGCCGGGCAAGGAGCCATCACGCTGACTCCTAGGACTTGGACAGACTGAAGCCTCTCCCCCGCATTTCTCCGAGCGGCCTCACCTTCCCCCTGCCAGAGGTGCCACCCTGGAGGGCCGGCTGTGTCAGCGCGCTGGCTGCCGGGGGCTGTCCCTGCCCTGTGACTGGCTGCTCGTTCACCTGTGTCTGGCTCGGAGCACGGCCCGCTGTACCAATACCCCTGAGGAGAAGGTGAGCTCCTCCTTTAAAGGAAGCAACTAACTCCCTGCCTTACTCTGCTTTTCTAGAGTTAATTTGGTAGGATGTTTATAACTTGAAGCTTTCTACTTAAAAGCTTCAGAAACCAGGTTTCAGAAACCAATCCATGAAAGGATATTTTCTTGCAAAATCGGAGTAAACTAGTACTAACTATGGTTCAGTTTTCAAGAAACAGAAAGTTAGAGCCTGGTGTGGTGGTGCCCTATCCCAGCCCTGGAGAGGCTGAAGCAGGAGGATGGCCGAAAGTTTGAGGCCAGTCTGGGTTACATAAGTGAGTTCAAAAGCAGCCTTAACTTCATAGGGAGAGCCTGTCTAAAAAAAAAATAAATTGGGGGCTGCAAGTGTAGTTCACTGATAGAGCACTTGCCCAAGATTCATAAGGCCCTGAGTTGGATCCCCAGCACCACCAACTTGAGCATTTTCTCCATATCTTCCCAGAGGTATTGGAAACAACTAAAACACCAATTGAAAATTTATCTCAAGGAAGTAATTTTAAACAAGTATCCCTAAGCCACGCATGGTGGCACATGCCTGTAATCCCAGCACTCGGGAGGCTGAGGCAGGAGGATGGTTGTGAGTTCGAGACCAGCCTGGGCTACAAAGTGAGTCAAGACCAGTTTGAACTTCATAGCGAGACCCTGTCTGAGAAAAAACAAAAAACAAAAAAACAAAACAAACAAAAAAACCCCAAGTATCCCTGTATCCCGTGTTTCAAAGTAGTATCTTTTTGTTACAGGAATACAGTGAACAGCTGACAGAGGAATTTTAGAGGCCCACTGCAGTTACTGAACCCATATGTGACTATAGCAAATTGGGTTGACTCACCAGGCAAGACCCAAAAGACCTGGTAAAAGTGATTCAGAAGCAGACTGTTTAAAGGGCAGGAGAGCAGAGCGGCACAGCTGCTTATAGGAAAGCACAGGTTCTGTGGGTGGTGTTTAAGGAGACAGTTGTTACCCGTCAATTAAAGTGAGACTGACTCACCTGTGCCTTACGTCACCCCCCCATGGCTCGTGAGAGTGGAGGACAAATGCTAATGACTTTGAATAGTGAGCTTCCAGACAGTGGGCAGCCTGGTGTGGTGTCTCCCAGTCAGTGTTGCCTGGGCTGGACTTGAACTTGTGCTCTTCCCAGCTTCGGGTCCCAGGGTGCTGGAATTACCTTGCCCAGCTAGACAAAGATGTTTTGAAAAGGTAAGATTTGTAAACCAGGTGTGGTGCACACCTGTAATCCCAGCACTTGGGATGCTGAGGGAGGAGGAGCCTGTGAATGTGAGGCCAACAACCAAAGAAAAAGAAAACAGATTGTTGGTTTGGGTTTTTTGGGTGTTTTGAGACAGAATCTTGATATATTTATATGTTGGCCCTGAACTGGTGTTCTTCCTGCCTGAGCCTCCCAAGGGATGGAATTCCTGGCATGCACCACCATGCATGGCTAAGATTTCTGTTAAGGAAGTGGTTTGTTATAATGAGTGAATCTTCTCAGATAAAGTACTGTGTTTGCTTGGGCTTAGTCTGGGTACATCATGAACAGATGGCTGGTTCTTGCCAGTTTGTGTGGTTGTAATTTCCAAAGTTTAGATAAAGGTAAACCTGATGCAACAATAAATAGTAAAGGAATCTCTAGGACAAACAGCTTCTGCTTTCCACTGCTCTAGAGCTGGCCCAATAGGCACGGGTAGTACTGAGCTTGCTGCTGTGCTCAGGAACCTTTTACGGGGAGCATGCGTGGGAAGGTGCTGACCCTAAGTCAGAGGTGCTAAGCAGCAGGGTTTTTATTACCTTGGGTTATGAAACTAGGACCTTCAAGGACAGACCTGGTGTTCAATTTTCACTTTCTTTCTTTCGTCTTTCTTTCTTTCTTTCTTTCTTTCTTTCTTTCTTTCTTTCTTTCTTTCTTTCTTTCTTTCCTTTCTTTCCTTTCTTTCCTTTCTTTCCTTTCTTTCCTTTCTTTCCTTTCTTTCTTTCTTTTCTTTCCTTTCTTTCATTTTGTTGGGGCTTTCACTACTTGCTATGCTGCCCAGGCAGGGTTTGGACTTGTGGTCCACCAGCCTCAGATTCTCAAGCATTTGGGATTACAGGCCTTTGCCACACCACCTGGAAAATCTTTTTTGAATTGATATCTTATTGGCTAAACTTTTAAAAACCCAAAACCTGGCTGGGTGTGGTGGCACAGGCATGTAATTCCAGGGCCGAGGTAGGAGGATCCCTGAGAATTCGAGGCCAGCCTGGGCTATTCAGTGAGACCCTGTCTTAAAAAAATTTTAAATAGAAAAGGTGTGGTGATGCCTGCCTATAATCCCAGCACTCTGGAGGCTGAGCCAGGACGATCATGAATTTGAAACCAACCTGAGCTACATACCACATGCAAAGCCTAATAGTGAGACCCTCTCTCAAAAACAACTTGAAACTGTACTATTTGGGGTAAATAATGATAGTTATGGAAGTTTTTTTTAAAGTTCTTGCCCAGTCTCCAACCTGGCTTTTTTTCTTCCTGTGCTGGGATTTGAACCCAGGGACTTGCACATGCTAGGCAAGGAACTCCAGTGCCGAGTCTCAAACAGCAATCTTTCTGCCTCAGCTTCTGAGGAGCTAGGTTAATGTGACCATGTTCAGAAATGAAAGAAAAACAAATATTTCCCTACACCTGTTAGATCCTTGAAATCCTAGAATTTCAAGAATTCTATAGTAACCAAGCCTTATAGTACACACCCGTAATCCCAGCTATTCAGAAGGCTGAGGCAGGAGGATTACAAGTTCAAACCCAGCCCGGACAATTTAGCAACTTAGTGAGACCCTGCCTCAAAAATAAAAAGGGCTGGGGATATCGCTCAGTACAGTTTCTGGATTCAGTGCCCACTAGTAGAGAGGAAAAATCTACAGTGCAGGAGATAAATGTGTATTTTTCTAGGAAGCAGCTAATTTCTTAAACTATTACAGTTAAATCTTGGTAATCCTTCTCACCTTTATTAACACACCATCCCTCCAAGATTTGATGGTGGCCAGGAACGGTGGCACATGCCTGTAGTTCCATCACTCTTGGGAGGCTGAGGCAGGAGTATCACTGTGAGTCTGAGGCCAGCTTGCGCTACGTAGTGAGTTCAAGGCCAGTCTGAACTACATAGCAAGACCCTGTTTTAAAAAACCAAGAAAAAAAAAAAGTGAAGGAAGACTATTCTTCCTAAAGATTAGATTCTTTAAAAAAGATTCAAAACTAAATAAATTTTTTTTTTTTTTTGGTTTTTCTCCGGTACCGGGAACCGAACTCACGACCTTGTGCATGCGAGGCAGGCGCTTTTGCCGCTGAGCTAAATCCCCAGCCCCCAAAACTAAATAAATTTTAAAAAATAAAAAAAGAAAGATTCTCTCACTGGGTGAAAAGGCTGATCTGACCACTTTCTTTTTTCTTTTCTTCCAGTACTGGGAATTGAACTCTCAACCTTGCACTTGCCAGGCAGGCACTGTGCCGCTGAGCTAAACCCCCAGCCCCTCTGACCACTTTTTAAAACACAGCTAACTGCTCCTGGTCTAGCATTTTCCCCATGAGTCTTGGCTAGAGTTGCTGGTTTAAGCTGGTTCTCAAGGGCAGAGGAAGAAGCTCTTGTAAAGGTTAAGATTAAAGAGGTATCACAATGAATTCAGGAATTACAAAATCACATGGAGAATGAATCAGCCCTGGAAAGAGGAATTTTACATTAGTTTAAGGAATCAGTAGGCATGTTTCCTAGGAGCTGGGGGCAAGTAGAATTGTGTTGCTAGTAAAATACCTTGTGCCATTCTAAAATGTAGAGACCTGAACTTGACCCGTAGCTGCAAAGCAAGGTAGTTCATCAGCATATCTGGCTTCCAATGTGTACTTTTCTGAATTTAATTGTTTGTTTGCTTTTTTTTTTTTTTCCCCCAATACTGGGAATTGAACTCACGACCTTGTGCTTGCCAGGCAGGCACTGTGCCACTGAGCTAAATCCCCAGCCCCATGTGTGCTTTTCTGAATTAAGTTTTCAGTGAAAATTTCGCTTCATCCTGTATTGTGAGTCAGACCCATAAGGTACTCTGCCAATGAGCTGTATTCTCAGCCTTTTTATTCTTTAAGATAATCTCACTAGGGCTGGGGATATAGCTCAGCAGCACAGCGCCTGCCTGCCCAGTGTGAGGTGGTGAGTTCAATTCCCGGTACCACAACAACAACAAAAAAAAAAAAAAAAAAAAAAAGACAATCTCACTAAATTTCCCAGCTGGCCATGAATTTGTGATCCTCCTGCCTCAGCCTCAAGTAGCTGGGATTATGGGTATGTGCCAACTGTGCCCAGCTTTGACAGAGTTTTGCTTATGAAATAGTCCTGGGGTAAGAGTGGTCTCTGGAAAGTGGTTATCTGTCTTTGAGGCTAATTAGTCATCTAGGTATGACCTTTCTCATCTGATGTATCATTCTGACATTTTTCTTTCTTCCTCCCACAGCGTGAGTGCATCTCCATCCACGTTGGCCAAGCTGGTGTCCAGATTGGCAACGCCTGCTGGGAGCTCTACTGCCTGGAACATGGCATCCAGCCCGATGGCCAGATGCCAAGTGACAAGACCATTGGGGGCGGAGATGACTCCTTCAACACCTTCTTCAGCGAGACTGGTGCTGGCAAACATGTGCCCAGGGCAGTGTT